CTGCTGGTGGTTTTGAACTGCCAGCCTTACGGATCACAGCCCACCATAAGCACTGCGCCACCCTAGCTTACCTTCTTGATGAAGGGAACAGAACACAGACTCATATTATTGCCCCGCTTCTAACCATCTTGTGGGCTGTATCAAAGAACGTGAAGGTCAGTACCAGACTGGGGCCCGCGTTTCAAGCAGCAGTGTCTGCTGCCCCCTGCACATGTCCAAGCAGGATCGGTATGAGCTTCGTCTGAGGAGGCGCCACTTTACATTCATGGAGGTATAGCTCCAAATGGGAGGCCATTCTTTGCAAAGGAACAGACATCTGGATCTCCCCTTTCTTTTAAAAAACCCCAAATCCCTCAGATATTTAAAAGACGCTACTGTGTCTCATCTTAGCTTTCCATTTCCGTGCGACGAATCCTCTCCCTATTTACTTTTCCTTATAAATGTCTTTTGTGCCTTGGTCACTGGGCCCTAGAAGACATCTGTCTCTGACTTGGGAACAAATCCCATGGGAGTTCCCAGAGTAAAGCCAGTTCTAAGGAATTGATTAGGAGAGACCCTCTTAGGGAGGGCTGCCAGCACTGGTTCCAGATGTGAGCAATCACGATGTTTCCAAAGACAAGACCTAGACACTTAGCAAAGCAGTGCTGGCAGTGTGGCGAGCTAAGCCCTGGGCGGCTCACCCACCAGATGCTCCCGGCTGCTCCCATCAAGAGGAAGCTGCAGTTTGGGAAATCCTCTGAAACATTCCTACTGGGTCCTAAAGATTCACTGAAAGTAGTATCAACTCAATGGTGGCTGTGTGTATAAATTGAATGTGTTACCTAGGCGCTTTTAATAATTGTTTTATTCCAAAATATCCAAATTGATTTTTACAATTATACCCCTACTTGGGAAAATCCCATGTATGAGCTTTCTTTATCCCTTAAGATCGAATCATCCTGTGTCCTTGTGGCATATGCCAAATGTCAGACAAAAGTCACTCCTCCAAATCTCATTGACTTGAGAATGATTCTTTATAACTAAGAGCTTGAAGAGCCTTCTACACATTGCAGCAAATCTTGTTAAATTCACAGTCGTCTAAGTTTCTGTTTTATCACGCAAGTTTAACATACACTTCCGTATCATTATCAAGGACCTGAGTGTTCATAGGAAATGATCTGCTTAGCTCATAAGGAATATATTTTTT